AATAAAAACCAAACTCAATGTTCATATTTTGTAACAATGTTGTTATGCATTTATGACATTAAAAAAAAGATTACATCATCAGCAAACATAACGGTCATTAAATTAGAGGCTTTATGGAAGTCTTTAATGTAAATAGGAAAAAGAAGGGGCCCTAGTATAGAGCCCTGAGGGACTCCACAATTAAATCTAATTGGAAGATACAGTTGAGTTACTGTCAACGAACTGTTTCGGGTTGCTTAAATAACTTCTAAGTAGCATTAAAACGTTTCCTTTGATTTCAAAGTACTCTAATTTTTGAAATGAAATTTTGTGATCAATTGTATCAAAGACTTTTGATAAGTCAATGAAAATTTTCAACGTTTATTGGGATTTTTAAAAAGATTCTGCAATACAGCGGGTAATTTTGAGTGTTGCATGTTCTTTTAAATTACTTTTTTATGAAGCCTTAATATAGTATATTGTTCGAAGATAAGTGAAAATTACGCTAATAAAATTCCTATATAACTTGGATACCTATTTTAAAATTAGTGAATTATATTAAAACAGGTATCCCAAAAGTAGGACATCTGTTTAAATATCATTATTCAACATGTGTAACATCTTGCGAATACTTGGGGTGTAATGAGATCGAAAAAGCCATCAAATTCTTAGTTCGATGAAATTGACAAATTTATCGGGTGATATAGACGCAACAAAATAGCTTCTCTAAGCATCTTATTACTAAGCAACGCAAAACGTGGGGATTTCTTTTCACCAAAAAAAAAATTTGCTTGTGATAGTGAAACTTATTTTTTATTTAATTTAATGAAACTTATTTTTTATTTAATCATTAGATTAAATTTATAAAAAATAAATTTACATTAATTTTAAATATCTAAAACTATTTTTGCTTATCAACAAGCGTGAAGCTTAATCTAGAGATAAAGACATGAAAAGCATAAAAAAACATGGTAATAAAAATTTATGTTTATTATTTCAAAACTTTAAAGTGAGCATTTTTACTGTTAACAAAGAGATTTATAAAATAAATCTAATTCATATATAGATGCCTGCCCAAACCTTTACCCCTATTCCATTCAACATTAATACATTTTTTTAGATTTTTTATGGCAAATTTAATAAATCTGTATTAAGCTTGCATATTTTTTGTCAGCAGCGATGACCCTGAAATAGCCTTCTGTAGTGGCAGATAGTATCTACATATAGAGGAAATTTATTATTGAAATATTTTTATATTACTTTTGTTCTTTTTTTTTTTAGCCTAATTTGTTTGTAAAATCTAGATAAAAGTTGGCATTTTAAAAATTTATTTCTTAGGAGTATATTTAGGTCATTCTATGCCAAATAGACCTAAGTCCAATATGGATCTCTTTTGCAATATTTTGATATGCTAGTTTATTTTATATTGTTAGTATATCTCAGGTTTGCTGACACTTTTTAAAATAGTGGGTTATTTTGCCTAGGGTTACCTTATTTCTTAAACACATAAAGAGGAAAGGTTCAGTAAAATATTGCTGTACATACATATCCCTCCTAGAGTTCAAAGATAGTTCACGTTTGCCAAAAAAGAAAATATCTCTAATTTAAAAAATGGCAGTTATTTTGGTAAATATTTTTTGATTTATTTTTTTGAATGAAAAAAGATTTACAAAACAAAGAAAAAGAATCATGTGTTTGATATCTTGCTAATAAAAAAAATTTATTAGCAAGATATTAAACACATGATTCTTTATCTTTATCATTTACTTTATCCCAGCTCAAATTTGAATTATTAGAAAAAATTATTAATCAAAACCTTTGAAACTAATTTAAAAACTTTGTACAATTTGTTCAAGGTAAGCAGAACATGAATTATAATTTAACAACAAATGTGTCATTAATCAATCACACACTTGGTCTTTCCCACCTTTCCCTAGATTTAGCAATATTGATTTAGTTTTCAGTGATACAATTTTTTTTCCACTTTTTCTAATAATAGACTTAACAGAGCTCAGACAAATGTAAAACTTAAATTATTTGTAACTTTCCTCTATATTTTAAATTTATATTTACTTTAATGTGTAAAAAAGTTTTTTATATAAAATCGTGTAGAATTTATACAATATTTAAAACAATTTAAATATTGTATAAATTCTACACGATGAAAAAAATGGAAACACATTACAATGTATTTAATGATTTAAATTTTAAATTCAATATAGAAACTGCTAAAACTTAACAACTTTTGTAAACTTTTTAAAACTTGACACAAATAAAAATAATTGAGTCCTGAAACTTTCAGAGTAATTTTTATACAATTCTTAAAAATAAAATTAAATAGTGGGTTATTTTGTACAAAACCTTTTTCTGTTCAAACAAAGTTCCCTACCTCAAACAACTAAAATTTTTAATCTGATTTTTTACTGCTTTTGAACAAAGAGTAATATTAAAGTATAAATACTTCCAATTTTTTTTTAAATAATAAGTATGCTATGGATAAGGCTATGCTTTAGATAACGGC